TGTTGTGGGAAGCATTGTAAACAGATAGTTGATTTGAGGTAGAGTTTTCATTTTGACAGTAGCTATTCAACCGATGAGTGAGAGAGGAAGATTGGACCAACGTTTAAAATCATCTTCTATCTTTTTTAGCAGGGGGGTGTAGTTGAGATTAAAAAGTTCTGACAGTATGGGGGAGATATTAATACCAAGATATTTAATGTTGGCTGTGCAGAATTGGGGGGAGGAGAATCCCAGGCATCCTCAGAGAGTGGTGGTATGGTGGGTTTATTCCAGTTTATAGGTTTGTGGTTGTTGCAGACACCTGGTGACAACTGAGAGGACAAACCAGCAGGGCCTCGTCAGGGTTACGTCTCCAGAGACTTGTCAGGTCTCCTCTGTCAGAGGAGGAAACCTCCTCCTTCCAAACCAGATCCCCTCTCCGTAGTCACAGTGGGACTTTTTCCATGTCTGACATTCTGGGGACAAACTGATCAATCAGATCATCGGGATGGTGATCAGCTGATTGATCAGTGGCCCTGCTGGTTGTGTCTCCACTCAGTCAGGAGGCTTCTCTCATTTTCTCACGATCTGTATGGCGACCTTTGTCTTGGGTACCAAGTCATTTTGATGTTCTCACACCCCCTTACTTTTCTGTGACCCTGGCTGCATGTGTGGGAGTGGGAATGCCCATCTGAATTTTAAAAGTTGTCATCATTACCATCACCTATAAATATCACTACCACCCCCGCCGTCACCCTCCCTTTACAGCGTCAGGTCAGCTGTGGTATGCTAGCTAGAGTGGGAAATATCTGTAGGGGCTTTTCAGTTCTGATCTTCAGTGACATCTCTGATGGAAAACACAACAATATGGTTTTAATCTGAATCTATGTCTGTGATATTTTCAATCTAGCAGCAATTGATTGAAAAGAGTAGGAGGATGTGATAAGCTGTAACATAGAAAGAAAAATACCTCAGCAAAACACTTGTTTCCTGTTTAGTGGGAGACGCACGCCTGTAGCCGAGAGGGTTGTGGCTTTACCTCTGTACATGACCCTGTGACACATGGTGACAGAGTCCACGGTTCCCATGCCCAGAGTAAATATAGACTTGTTGTTTATACCCCACACACTGCAAAGCTTTCTGCTTTTGTCTGTTATATACTTCTGCTAACGCCCAGTAAATGCTTACTCAGCACATCTCCACATTACCGACATCACCAGAGTCTCACTAAGCTCTGAGTTGTTTAAATTTCCTCTCCTCCTGTCTGATGAGGAACAGAAAGGCCTGTACTGTCTGTAACCTTTGCCCTTTTGCCAACCAGAGTGAGAGAAAGCTGAAAAGTTGTGAAGACATGAGCATCAGGGCGGTGGGTGGGGGCAAAGTGCTGAGACAAACACAGAGAAGCTGCCGGCCGTGAGAAAGAGGCACAGCAAGCAGCCACAGCCGCTACACCGATCAACACCAGAGAGTTGTGGCCTGGGATGATTGTCTTGCTGTGATCTCAGTTGACTACGCATTTGACACAATGATGCCATGTAATGTACTACGCAACACCTACGACGTTGTCATAGGAGCCATGAGAAAGTATGAGAATAGGTGCAAAATTAGGTTTGCATGAACATAAATGTCACCTGGTCATCGCTGTAAAACAGGAGCTCAGACTGTTGCTCAGAAAAGTGTCTCTCTTTGACAGACAACAGAGGCCAGTTTATTAGGAACACCTGTCTGGCACTGAGTCAGTCTGACCCAACAGAGCTGCAGTGAATCCTTCTGTCATGCTCAGACTTTCAGAGGTGCTGGTCCACCTGTGTGGTCACTGTGGAGGCTGCAGTTCGGCTGGACTGTGTTACACAGACCTGGTTCTGTTCTACAGCATAACCTCACTGATACAACGGCTCTACCTTCATGGAGACATCTGTGATGTGTTGCTGAGTCGTGCAGAGTTAATGCACCTTGTCAGCCAACGGTTGCCTGTTTGTGTCCACCCAGTGTTTTAGCTTTAGGACCTGATGCACCCAGAGCGCTGCAGCTGTAGAATACTGGGGAGGAGCGGGACCCAGGAGACGGCAACCTCAGAGCTGACCCAGCAGCTCTGGGTAATGATGGAGGGGAGCATAGGCAGGTGAGAAAAAAAAACCAAGTCTGGGTAACGCTACGACGGAAAACTCAGGAAGGCAGCGTACTGCCACTCAAGGCAAGGGAAACAAAAATCACTATGTATGTATCTGGAGGAAAAAACTAAACCTAAACACTAAACAGGCAGGCTTCCAAAAGGACCAAGGCAGGGGCAGAGTCAAAGGCCGAGACCAGGTCAGAGACAGGCAGGTAGGTAACGGGCTCACCAACAGCACACAGAGGGCAGATCCAGTGACTGGTGATGGCTTGACAGCATGACGGAGGTCTGACAACAATCCAGCAGGTGAGGAGGAGCTGTAAGGTGGTTGTAGGGTGGAGATAAATAACAGGTGAGTGGAAATATCCAGATGATCCGAATCAGCCGCCCATTAGCAATAGCAAAGCCGGAGAGAGAAAGGCAGCGAAAACCAGGACGTTCATTTCAAAATTCAATGATACAAAAATATAGAATACTATTTGAAAAGCGTCTATCAGGAAGCCAGGGAGGAGCACGACACTGACAGGCCAAGCTTTAAATAAAAACTTAGATTAAAATGATGAGCTCCTCCTTGGTTTTCCTCATTCAGCTTTTAAACATATTAAATGTGCTGATTTATTTGGCATATTAGCCGCCAGAAAACAGCAGAACAGCACCTGTAACCACGGTAAGCGGACACACACCAAGAGGATGCAGGGCGACAACTGGACTCATTTCACTGAGGAAAACAACATCTTCATCTTGTTGTCAACTAAAAGGGACAACAATCAGCTGAGAACATTTGGACTAAAACCTGGGGGCCTAAACATTTCTACCAGGTCACTGCAGAGTTTATAGCTGATGTAAAAAGTTCATTGAAGGAGCTCATGTCTTTACATCAGTAAGATTTAAAAAGTCACAGCAAGTGAACATCTTTAACAAAGCAATAGGAAACTGACTACACTCTCCATCTCCACCTCCCCCCGAGTTTCAGGTTCCTAGAAAGGCAGGTTTCTACCACCACCAGGGGAACGAGAAGCCCCCAATCCGAACGAGGCACGTACCCACCGAAGCCACCAGCCCGTCTCAGCTCCTTACGCTCCTCTCGTCTGCTCCCCCTGACAGCCCCTGGGAAAAGGCTGCAAGCCCCCCACCACACCGACCACAGTGCTGTGCCATGCTGCCGCCGTGCACATCAAGGTGAAGCCAGCTCTGTTTCACTCTGCTCACACCAGGAGTGAGATGTCTGCAGAAACACAGCCAGCCTCAGCTTTGGTTTTACTTCATACGTCCCTGGATGATTTGATTTCAAGTTGAGTCAGATTCAGACCTCACTGCTCGACAACAGATGAACGTTAGCATAGGACTTTTCTCATTAATGATAAAATTGCCTTTCTCAGTGATTCGAGGGTTTTCAGTTAGTTCTTAGTGCCTTTTCTGAGGGAATGTGAAAGGAACAACCTGCACTTCACCATCCAACATGTGGTTAAAGCTGCTGTTTCAGGAGCCCGAGGTTCAGGCTGCGTCAGACCGCTCTCTGATTTGTTAAGTGAAGGAGCAGTTCATCTGCATATGGACTTCTTCTGTTTCATTTAAACCAAATATGCTTTCCTCTTCAAGAACAGGGCCTCTGAGTGGTCCCACACACTCAGTGAGCACTTTATTAGGTACACCTGTACATCTGGATCCAATACAACAGGCCTGTCATAACATCTGTGTGGATGAAGCTCAGTAGCTTTTGCTGAAATAGTTGGAAAGTTTTTGATTATGTTTATTACTGAGGTCATAGCAAAGGTGGTGCCTGCACTGCATTAGTCAGATATAATGTAATCCAGTGCAGAAACACTGCACATACAATATATGGCCCGTGTCCCAGTAACGTCTCTGATACTGGATCATAGTGACTAATTACTGTGTCCATCACTTTAATGCTGCAGCTGGTAAAGGTGGAGCTGATGGTAACTACCTTATATACTTATACTGGGAAGTACTTTCCATCCTGCTGGGTAGCTGGTGGATTTCCTACTGGGATCAATAGAGTCTGATGGTTCTACTGGGTTCAAGTGTAGTTTAAGTTATTTCCTCATTATCAGCAAGTTAATGAGAAGTAAATATTAACTGACTTAAATCTTTTCACCACAATAATTTATTACATCTAATGACTTAAAAATTCTATAACAAATCGTTAATTTATCATTATTGACTTGTAACTGATTTTTATGGTGAAGTGTTGCCCTGAGGTCTAAGATCAGACCTGCCTTTCATTTTAAATACAACACAGTAAATTATTTTCAGTGTCTTCCTGACCAAAAGGTCACACGGGCTGTAATTAAGTGCTTGAGGTGACGGTGGTGAAACAGAGGCAAGAGTGTGGGATGGTGGGTACCATGGCAACAGACAGGCAGGTAGAAACAGTGGAGTAAAGGTTAGCTCACATCAGAACGATGAAATGTTCAAACTTTCCACAGATGCTTGGTGTTTTTACAAGTCCACCCACATGGCGAGTCAGTCCACCGGGGACTCCAGCAGTGACACCAGCACGCTGGTCCATGTAGGTCTCGTCTTGGCCCAGCCTGTCATGCTGTTACAGACCTGCAGAGATTAGGCAGCACCAGGGGTGAAAACAAGGACCTTTTGTTTTCAAACTACAAAGGCTCATGTTTGTCATTTAAATGAGCTATTTGGGCACTGTTCCCCTCCCGTCCCACAATCCTCAGCAGCCTGTCAAAATCACGTCAAATCTCACCGTCATGTCGTCATTTGATGGGTGTGAGAAAGAGAAAAGAGGACGCTACAGCAAGGACTCAACAACCAACCTGAACATTGAGCTGCACAAAGCCAAGGTAAGACCAGCGACTCGGCTCGACTCACACTGGGATTCACTTGATTCAGTTTTTGATTTTCTTATATAGCTGCAACATGACAAAGTGAACAACTTCAGGCTGCGAAGGACATTATTTTACAGAAATAGCAGATTAAAAAACAAGATCAGATTAAGTCATCTATTTTAAAACTTTTTTCTTTTTTTTTTTTTACAAAGGCTCATGAAATCTACATGAAAGTCTTAAACAGGTTTGGGAAAATGTGTGCAGACGTCTGCAGTGTTCTGTCGAGTTGTCTCTCAGGCTCCTCTGTCTTCTTACTTTATCTGATTTAATGCTACAACCAACTAATACTAAACAGTTACTTGTCAAATAATGATCAATTATCAAATTCACCACATTGTAAATACACTTAATTTTTGGTTTCATTTTCTGATTTGAAATGTAAAATTATCTTTTTCTAAATGTTGATGTCTACAGTCCAACAGGCAGTTTACAGAGTCAGTTTAGCACAATGTCCTCAGTGAAAGCCTGAAGCTTCAGTGCAGGTGGCAGGCACTATTTGTTAAGGAAACCTCAAGCTTTGGCATTGTAACTGAACATGCATCAACAGGTGTGTGACATCTGAGTGTGTGAGGCTCCAAAAGTGACATGAAAGACTCCCGCAGGTTGATTCTGCAGGATTTGTGCCAGTCGCCCCTGTGCCATGCCACGCTCGTTTCTCGTCAGGAGTAAAAGGACTCTGCTCGGCCCGTCTACGGGCGCCTTCAGGCGACGCTCCCAGAGGGCAGCTGACCAGCCTGGGCAGCCTGCAATGGGGCAGGATAGGAGGCGTCCTGAGGATGATGTGCAGCCTTCGGCCCCTGTGTTGGGGGTACTACAGCCGCTGGCTGAAGCCTGCCCACCGTGGGATGGGATGTCAGACCGGCTCAACAGTGACGACCCCTGGACTTCAGGTACCCTCAGCTTTCTCTACTGTTGAATCTTTTGTTTCACTGTGAAGCTGTTCTAAAACTACAGTAATTAAGTAGCACGTATTTTAGTTATTCAAGCTTCCTTGGACTGGGTATAAAAATCCCACACAATCTTTTTAAGGGTGACCTGACCAAGATGGTGGCAGCAGCAGCGTCAGACAGTCCAACATGAAACTAAGACAACAGCACGAACAGAGCGGTTTATCAAACTGTCACTTTAAGAAGCTAAAATTAGCTAAAATAGATGCAAAAAAATTATCATTGACCAAAAAAAAAAATCTTCAGAAGCCTTTAATCAATTTGTGATAGAGTTCATTAACTGTGAACTATTCCAAGAGTTTGGAACAGAAAACATGAAGCTTTGGTTCTCTCTACGTACAGATGTGACAAATGTTAGGAGCCTCCTGACTGAGCAGAGACACAACCAGCAGGGTCATCGATCATCTGATCATCAGGATGATGATCAGATGATCGATCTGTTTATCCCCAGGACACTGGGATAAAGTCCCACTGTGACTCTCCAGAGCCAAAGGTGGCGTCTCCACACGTCTCGTTGTGTCCAACCAACAGACCCACAGATCCACAGCTGATTCTCATGTCTGACAAAGAAAAGCATCAGCTCCTCACATTAAAGAAGGTGGAACCAGAACATGTCGGTGACTGTTGCTTCTAAATAGCTGAGGTTCATTTTCTACCAGTGAACTGACTCATGGCTGCAGCTCTAGGTCACTGAATGGCTTCATGAGGACGACACAGTGGGTTGGACACAGCGGGGTCGGACGCAGAGTGGTCGGACGCAGTGGGGTCAGAGACAATGGGTTGAACACAGTGAGGGGATCTGGTTTGGAAAGAGGAGGTTTCCTGCCTCCGACAGAGGAGACCTGGCAAGGCTCTGGAGACTCGGCCCTGCTGGGGACTGGGTAGGGGTCTGTCCTCTCATCTGTCACCAGCTGCAGCTTCCCCGTGATGTATCATTAGAAATACAGCTCAGAGAAATAAGTTTACAAGGAGAAACTTGATCTGATTGATTAAATGAAGGTGACAAGAGGAGGCCTTGAGTCATGTGGGAAACGTATTTTGTTTTTGTAACACAGAGCACAACTCGATATTCAGGATTAATTATGGACTAAAGGTTATAAAAGGCCAAGTAAAAATGCAACAAAAAGCTGTTCTCTGTAATCTAAAGACATCTTCTTCCTCTCATATTCCAGCAAAAGTCCCTGTGGAAAAGGGAGACGCTGATGTGCCGTCACAAAGACACCAGGCATCAAACAGAGAGAGGGAACTGGAGAGACTGGTCTTCATGTTGCTCAACCACACATTGCACACTGACCTCACATCCCCGGTCAGCGAATGTCCGCTCTGTGAAAAGGTAGGAGGCCTCTGGACTGTCCACACTGCCTCTGTCTCCTCCTTGAAGGAGCTAATAACCATAAAATAAAAAGTAATTGGCACAACACAGGAGCTGGCAGCTTGTCAGAGTGAGACTCAGCTGAGCAGGTGAATAAAATCAAATCTGAGCGCTGTTCGTCAGCAGAACGCTTCTGTTGCTGCAGAAAGAATTGGTGAACACAGTGGTAAAAAAAAAAAGCCTGCACCACTTCTTGTCTGCCAGGGAACGTTTGTTTCAGTGAAAATCAAATCTACCTTCCTCAGTCTGTGGAAAGAACATTTTCAGCATCATTTCATTAAATCTCTTCCCACTCTTTTCACAGTGTCAGGTTTGATTTAATCTAAATTTTTTTTAAGTACTGTTTTATTCCTATTTACCTCATTTCACAATGAGCATTCCTTAGTCTGTCTGCATCGTTTACTGCCTGTTAATATTACTTATGTTTTTATACTACACAGCCTTATGCTGGTTTACTGTTTACTGGCCCCTTGCATGGGGATATGTACATGCACATTGAGAGCCGATGTACCAGTCAAATTCCTGGTGTGTGTGACACACCTGATTCTGATTTAATAAGTTTGATAAACATACAATTAACTTCACTGTCCCCTCTTTTAAAAGAGCCTGACTGATACTGGAGATCTGATACTGAAATCATTATTTGGGAGCTTTTTAAAATTCTATACTCAGCCAATAACCATTTAAAATACATAACACAAACTGGTTTGATGGGGATCATTTATGCATGATCATGTAGTCTAGCTCTTCTGTTAAAGGTCTAGTTACAGTCAGGGATGTAAGCCTTTGTGTTTTCTGGAACTCTCATGGGCCATAGTCTGTACGTGAAGCTACAGCTAGCAGCTCGTTAGCTTAGCACAAACCCTGGGAGCAGGTAAAGGTCACCAACTCCACCTACTGGAAATGGTTCAGTGATTCATGCATTTCTCTGGCTCTGGGGGTTCATGTACCAGACTGTGGCTCCATCAGCTGCCAGGGCTGTTACAGAAACCTTTTATACAGGCGCTGTTTGGTGAATCCTGTCACATTTTCACAGGCTAGCTGTTTCCCCCCGTTTCCAGTGTTTGTGCTAAGCTAAGCTAAAGGCTCGTTCAGTGCTATCGGTCTTCTCATTTCTCACCAGAACAAGGATATCCTCTTTTTAATCTCTTCTAAACTCACTGTCTCATGACTTTTTCCTTACTGATGTTATGTGCTATTTTTATTTATTTGTTCTAGATTTATGTTCCAAATTGTCGCACTTTTCTTTAGTGCTTTTACTGTAAATCCCTTCGTAACCAGTGAAAGGTGCTATATCACATCATATCCCCCAGATGTTGAACCCTTTTCTCTCTGTCTCCCAGTCTCTGTCGGAGGTGCTGACACCAGGAAGTGGCCCGCAGGCTCGTGTCTGCGACGCCCTCCTCGTCCCATTGACGTGGCCACCTGTATCCACAGACGGACCCCACCTGCCCTTTGGCTTCGGAGCAAGAGGCAGCTATGGCAGAGCAAAGGTACAGTTCACGGGAAGGTTTACATGACCATGTTCAGGACACACACACTCGGCTCATCGTGATGTCTGTGTGTGTGTATCCGCATCCAGGAACGAAACTTTGGCTGCAAGGTGTGTGGAAAGGTGTTCAAGCGCTCGTCCACCCTGTCCACGCACCTGCTCATCCACTCGGACATCCGGCCCTACCCCTGCCAGTACTGCGGCAAACGCTTCCACCAGAAATCCGACATGAAGAAACACACTTTCATACACACAGGTGAGTCGACACAACAGCAAGCACACGGTCACATGCTCAGGAAACGTGGCGTCCCGTCCTACTCTGTCGCTTTGCTCCCCCCTCAGGTGAGAAACCACACGTGTGCAAGGTGTGCGGTAAAGGATTCAGCCAGAGCTCCAACCTCATCACCCACAGCCGAAAGCACAGCAGCTACCGGCCGTTCAGCTGCCCCCGCTGTCAGCACAGCTTCCAGCGCAGGGTGGACCTGCAGCGCCACCAGCAGGCACAGTGCGGCTATGGAAAGTCACACCTGAGCCCATACACCATCCTCCATCCTTCAGAACTGAGACTGAACAAAAACATGGATTAAATAAAGCTTAAAATGTTCAATAAAACTGGAGCGTTTACTTAAAAACAGCTTTGTGCTCTGTTTAGTTTGACCAATGATGGCACATCAATGCAGTGATGGTTGGAACACCTTCCCAGTATGTGCCAGGCAGCGGTGCCCTTAGGCCAGTATCACCCAGTCCTGTGTCAGAACCGCTTCCCTCAGAAAGTCTCAGTGTGGCTGTAGTGTGTGTCTGTGTGCAGCTGGGCTCCCGGCAGAGATCACATCCATTCACAGGAGGAAGAGGCTTTTTGTGAAATTACTGTCTAAAAATAAAAGTTAAAAACACACAGTGCATGTGACCTCAGCTCCATTTCTGCAGAACGTTTGGTAGATGTAGTTTTGTGTCATGTTTTAGCAGAAATCCCACTTGACCTGCTCGGCACCAGAACATCCTGGAACATTGACCTGCCAATGAGTAAAATGGAGACAAAACGAGTGGTGGACAAAACAGGACACATGACAACCACAAAGACGTGCAAAGTGATTACAAAGAGACATAAACCTAAAGTTGCTGTTTCTGCTAGACGTGCAAACGGGCACCTGCCACGTTTCCACATTAGCCCCATGTGCTGGACCTGTGTCCACAGCTCATTGATGCCCCTTAGAGGCCAGAAACACCGCTTGCTTTAAACAAACAACACACAACAGCCCACCAACTTCCTCTGTTTTATTTGGGTCATGTGATGTGAGAGCGACAGGCCAATTAGCTCAGTGTAAAACACACAACGATTCACACAGACGAACTTCTGATATCCAGCTGACTCAGTTACAACACAACAGCTCAGAGTCAAACCAGGCACACACGCACAGTGCCCGTCTTTGGCACTGCGTTGTGTCTTTACAGGCGACGGTGATGTGGTGTCACACTCACTGCCACTTCTGAAATGACTCCATGTAGAACGGCTCGAAGCATCACACAAACAGCGTTTCACTTTGTCACAATGCAGCGATGGGGAAATGCTACTGTATTCACACGGTCTCAGTCCGGTTGTGCACGCACCGACAGGTGGCTGTGCCCGCTCACACACACACGGAACGTCTGCTCCACTTCTCTCTGATTTGCAGGAGGAAATCCTGAGAAAGAGATAAAAGAGTCAGACTGTTCAGACCTATCTGGCACATCAGCAGGTGCTCACCTAATACTGGTATAGACCTACTTTGGTGAAATGTCGGCGCTCAAACCACCACAGTTTATTTTAAATACACAGCTTCAATCGCTGGATTAACTGGGACAGTTTCACACTGTATCACATAGTTAAACGCTCTCTGATCCTCCGGATCGCAGTCAGAGCCCGGGCCTCCCTGGAAACCAGCTTTTACAACTACAACGCAGAATGAGTGTAAGAGAAAGTTACAGACACAGACGTGAAATGTCTGTTCATAACGTTAGAAATGTGCATTTGTTTGCCTCACTTATGGTTTGTTGCCATAATAAAATGAACACAAGGCCTGTAGTAGAGTTTTCTGCCATGTTTAGAAGAATCAACAGACTCAAGACTTTAAATTAACATCTGTCAGACTTCGAAGATCCACACAGTGAGTCTGGTGAGTAACACTGAACACAAACAAGACTTTTGTTAAGCCCCTTATCGACCTAAAATGGCCGCGGTCGTCCACAGTCTCACCTCTACACCGAGCTGGACGACTGCTCAGACAGTGGATTCCAGGCGTTGTGGCCTCCTTGAGTTCGGCTTGTTAACTGACCTTTGTCTCCTCCAGGTGATGTTGGACGCCCCCCTTCAACAGACACACAAATATCAAGTCCCTTCAAAACCTGTGCACAGAAACACTGACTGCTGTGAATAATTCTGTGGTAACCTGCAACATCCTCATTTACAGGGTTTTATTTCGATGATGTTGGTTTCATCTCAGCCCTGTGACGGACTGGCGCCCTGTCCAAGGTGGAGCCCGCCTCTCGCCCATTGTCAGCTGGGACTGGCTCCAGAGCCCCCTGTGACCCTATTTAGGATGAGTGGTATAGATGATGGATGGATTCATCTCTGATATTAACTGCTTGTTGTGATGCTTTCACCCTGTGTGTTACATTTTGTTTAAATGAGATGCACTGACACAAAACTAAAGGGATTTATCAGTTTTCCCTTTCAATTTTAGTGGCGTCCACCTCAGGGTTGTTTTAATTTATTCCAAAGGGGGGGCATGTGTATCTGTAGCAGGCGTCATGGCTAACCATCCAATACGTGTTGAGGCATTTCAGTGATGAACGAGTGACCGTGCCAGAGCTACAGCTGCACCGTTCGCTGGAAAGCTGCACATGCAAAAGCTCCGATGAACCAGCTGTGTTAAATCGCCACTGTGTTACTGGTTCAACAACAACAATTTATGGAAGTGATGAGATGATGTATTCACACCACAGCTCGTCAGTGACAGAAGGAAGCTGGTGTCATTACCTGTATGATTATAGATGCACCACAGTCCCCCCATCAGAGTGACACCCATCACAAAGGCAGCAAACACGATTCCCATCATGGGTCCTATCTGCACCACTGAGCCTAGAGGCAGAGTTCACATGTGGCAGTCACTTAAACAGCATCACAGTAACAGACAACATCCATGGTACTCACTGCTGTGCTCTGGGTTTTGGCTGGGCAGCTGGGACACACTCAGTCTCTTGGTCTTTTGGCCAGCAGGGGGCCTCGGCAGTCTGGGTGCCAGGGAACTAATAAACTGAGTGACCAAGACGGGCCTGGAGAGGTTTCTGATCTCACACTGACATGGGAACACAGGACAGGGGCCAAGTGTTAATTGTTACTGCTGCAGTAGCTTCAGTAGTACAGTGCTACAGTACTACAGTACTACAGTAGCTTCAGTAGTACATTGCTACAGTAGCTTCAGTGCTACAGTACTACAGTAGCTTCAGTAGTACAGTACTACAGCGCTACAGTACTACAGTACTACAGCGCTACAGTACTACAGTAGCTTCAGTAGTACAGCGCTACAGTACTACAGTACTACAGTAGCTTCAGTAGTACAGCAGTACTACCTGGAGAGGTTTCTGATCTCACACTGACATGGGAACACAGGACAGGGGCCAAGTATAGCGCTACAGTACTACAGTAGCTTCAGTAGTACAGTGCTACAGTACTACAGTAGCTTCAGTGCTACAGTAGCTTCAGTGCTACAGTACTACAGCACTACACTACTACAGTACTACAGCCCTATTTTGGCCAGCAGGGGGCCTCGGCAGTCTGGGTGCCAGGGAACTAATAAACTGAGTGACCAAGACGGGCCTGGAGAGGTTTCTGATCTCACACTGACATGGGAACACAGGACAGGGGCCCGCTACAGTACTACAGTACGACAGTAGCTTCAGTAGTACAGTGCTACAGTACTACAGTAGCTACAGTACTACAGTAGCTACAGCACTACAGTAGCTTCAGTACTACAGCACTACACTACTACAGTACTACAGCGCTACAGTACTACAGTAGCTTCAGTATTACAGTACTACAGTAGCTTCAGTACTGCAGTACTACAGTACCAGCAGCAGGTGAGTGTTAGAAAGTACACACAGTGGTTTAAAGACAAGATGAATTAAAGGTTGTAGTGTAGTGCTGTAGTACTGTACTACTGAAGCTACTGTAGTACTGTACTACTGAAGCTACTGTAGTACTGTACTACTGAAGCTACTGTAGTACTGTACTACTGAAGCTACTGTAGTACTGTACTACTGAAGCTACTGTAGTACTGTACTACTGAAGCTACTGTAGTACTGTAGTAGTGTAGTGCTGTAGTACTGTACTACTGAAGCTATTGTAGTACTGTAGTACTGTAGCACTGAAGCTACTGTCGCACTGTAGTACTGAAGCTACTGTAGTACTGTAGGCTTTGCACAACTTTGGGACATATGAAGCTACAGCTAGCAACAGGCTAACATAGTTTAGCATCTCCTGACAGGCTGAACAGCACAGTAGCTGTTTCCAGTTCTCATGCTAAGCTAATCAGCTAAATCTTTAACATTCGCACTTGGGAGAAGCATCAGTCAACCTAAGACCTGGAACATGCTCCATGCAAATACATGAACACAGATATCACTGTGGTCCTAATGTGATGTGAGCGAAAGCTGCAGTGCGAGTGTTGCAGCAACAGGGCGCCACAGCAGGAAGCTGAGCCCTTTGGTTTGGGCCTGCTCCACTCAGAACAGTCCTGTTGAACTGACAGGAAACCCTCTGTCCTTCCTCCGTGAGCGCTTCACCACACCCAGGTTTCTTCACTGTTTGTTTCCTGCTCTGAGCTGTGACCAGCCTGCACCGCCTCCTCTGTGCACGTTGTTCACAGAGATCATGTGTTTGTGCCAGGTGCTGCCTTTTGTGTTCGCTTACTTGCTTGGAGCATGTTCAGGACCCAACTCCTGACAAGAAACCAACATTTTCTAAAATCTCAAATGACTGCTTTGCTGTGACACAGAGCTCTGCTGTGCTGTTCGTTTCTCTACCTGATGTCTGGGTGACCTGGACTGAAGTGCTGGAATACGCAGTCCATCCTTACAGTCCTTCACTGCTTCCTTCGTGGGGTTCCTCCTCGTAGAGTCGGAGACACACAGGTGAAGGCTGCAGTGGAGAAACTGCATAGAGTTATTATAAACCGACCGCAGGATAAAACTGAATCTCAAGGGCTGGAGCTCCTCCTCTGCTCCCATGACCATGCTGCTCCTCTCCATCCTCGCTGGTGCATCTTTTCTTCTTCCAACTTCCTGTCGGAGTGAGGCATTATGTCTGTGATAACCTCCCTCCATCTCTTCCTTTTCCATTTTGCCATCACCTTTCCCCTCTTCTTCTTTGGTCGTTGCTTCCAAGGCCACTGAGGGGTCTGAGGAACAGCCCTCTCTTATGACAAACCAGAAAGGAGATTTTTTGGGGTCTGAATGAGGCGAGACCATGCATGACCTCACCTCCACAACATCTGTGAGGGGTCCTTTGGCTGAAATCTGCAGAAGGACGGACACCAAAACAGTGATCCAGAAAATGTTTGATATGAACAAGAGAAGATAACGATGCACTGACACCGACCTCGACATAAATGCGATGGTCTGCGGTGATGACACAGGGGCCACTCCGCCTCTGCTCGTAGCTCCCAGTGACAAAAAGCTTCAGGAGAAGGAGAGGCCCAGATCTGTGCCTGGATGTCGGGATGCGGCTGAGGTCTGAATCGGGCCCCGGACCCTCAGGTGCCCAAGGGAGCAGCCCTGCCCGAGGAGTGTTTAGCTCATCAGTACTATCAGCAGCAGGGCCGAGGGGGCCGGGGGGGCCGGGGGCCGCAGCCCCACTGAGGGGAAGAGCAGCAGAGTGTTGAATGAACGATGGTGAATCTACAGTGGCTTCATGAAGTTTTCAGAGCCCTTCACTTTCTGCACATCACCGTGCTGTAGATCTCACTGCAAATTGATAATATTGCCATTTTGCCATCAATCTACAATCAATAATCTATCATGTCAAATTTCTGCCAATTATTAAAATTCAAAAGCTGAAATTAAAATGAGGGCGTTGGTTGGGTTTGTCGTTTTCCTTTCATTTGCCACACTTCTCTTTTCTCGCCCCTGTGGGGGACAAGGGAGACGACGACACCTGGACAGCAGCACTGCACTGAACCTGTCAGACACATGGACGGCTTCTGGAGGCGGAGAAAGAAACCTCACCAGGCGAACGCTACCTCTGTTGTTAGCTCCCTACTTCAGTCTGGGAAGTACTTGAGGGTATGAGAGACACGCTGCTAATGTGAACGAGCTGTCGGCTGGTGCACAAACACCAGGGTAGCAGCGATAAATCAAAGATACCCTGCATTTGGCTGCAAACAGAGGCCCTCGCATACAGGCAAGCAGTTTCACCAGCCTTTCACTCACAGTGGCTCCTGTGCAGCCTCCTGACCATAAAGGCCCGACTGATGGAGAAGCCGCTGAGACGCCTGTCCTCCTTCTGCAGAGGACGTCTGAGGCTCTGTCAGAGGGACCACTGGTCTCTCCGTCTCCTCCCTGACTGGGGACCTTCCTGTTCCTCAGTCTGGTTGGAGGCCGACTCTAGAAGAGTCCTGCTGGTTCCAGTGTAGACTAATGAGCAAGAACGGCAATTTTACCCATTTGAAATGAAACAGACGCTAAATAAAGCCAAGGAGTCTGAACACTTTCTAAACAACGGTATACTGCATTTATAAGATGGACACAGAGTCAAACATGCACAGACACACACATATCTCACATGTATGCCAAGTGGACCTTTGGACTTGTTCTCTGTGCCACTGAGCGCCAGAATGGTCTGCGGTTGGTCTCTCCACAGCAACACCTGGTCGGAGACGACAGAGTGAAACAGACACACACTGCCTCATCCTCCATCCTCCACTGCTCATCTCAGGCAGCAGAGGCTCAGTTCAACTCCACTGCTGTTCCTGTTCAACGCTTCCTCTTAAGGACATCACTTACAAATAACATGAATAGAAATGTTTTCACTAATGACACTCGGTAGGTATCAGTCTTCTCACGTCCACTAACCACCTTAACTAGTTTAATGCCTACCATCAATCAGTTCAGACAGACAGATACAGCAATGATTACCAAAATCACAGCACTGAAAGTGAAGAAATGTCTAAAACTGTAAGACTGAAACAGAAAAATAAGTCTAAAAGTATGGAACAATGAACTGAAGGAGGTGTGTCCACATCTCTGCACTGGCTCAGACGTTTCCAGCCTGTTATTAGCAGCTGCTTCTCTCACTGATTCTAAATCTGTTTCTTTCTCTTCATCTGTGTATTAATGTGCATGAGTTGTGTCTTTTTGCATCATTTGGTCTAACGGTCATTTTGTAAATGAAAGAGAACGATGTCCGATATCATAGCGAGGTTGTTACAGGTGTTCTATCCAGACACAGTTTCATCACGTGCACCTTCTGCCTCTGCTGTTTGTTCAGCTCTCTGGACTCACTCTGCGTCGTCCTTCCTTCCTATTTCAGCTGAACTGATGATGAGTTCGTCTCATTTAATCTGCCTCGATGCAGCGTCCCATTTTTAGACTCTGGTCGTGATGACCCGGGGCACAGGTCGTACCAGGGACAACTTCCACTTACCACAGCTTCAGGTGCCTATTATGCGCCATGCACTGTTCATTTTGGTGCCATCTGACACAGTGTGACCTCAATCTGATTGCTCTAAAAGCTTCACTCATTTAGTTTCTGCCATTTCCTCCTCGTCCAGCCACCATCCCACTTTTCTCTGCCTCGGTTTCTGTTGGCTAGTGTTAATTACATCCACAGTAATGACAAAGCTTTTCAAAGCAACAGAACTCTACCACGTTTAAATGATAAAAAGGAGGAAACTTCATACAGAGCCAGAAAAGGAAAGTAATACTTATGATTTAAGAAACTTTAAAATGACGCGTTTGCTCCGTTTCTGTCCAGAGGTCTTATCTCACCATGTTTTTGTACTGCACCCCTCTGGGCTGTCCCAGGAGCAGACCCTCAGTCCCACAGGAAATGACTGGGAACACCAACAGGAAGTGGCTCCCGTTGGACTGAGCCCGGCACGTCGAATCACGCAGAGTCACGGCAGCCACCGGGAGAGACCAGCTCTGTAGCAGAGAACTGATGTGAGACCACGTACTGTCCACACTGAACCACTAGAACAGTGCAGCCAGCGACACACTTACATATTAAGGTGGTGCAACGCCAGCTCACGTGGGTTCAGACACACATAAAACACATCAAATGTGCAACTACAATGACACCTGGTGAGCAAGGAAGACATTTCTGAACTGCCACAAACAGCTTTCACCAGTCTTCACCTACATTCATGCCTCCGCGGTTGTGTATGGCTGGGGCTGGGGGGGGGGTGTATCAAGCTAAAGCACTTATGGCTGAAGTCTTAGCCAACACATTAGCTCTGGTCTGGACTCGTGTCTCTGGCCAGGTTTTAGTCGATCGTTGGTGCATCAGCCTTTTTTTCCTGCTGCTGGAGACAAGGTTGATGGGAGCAGTGAGAGTGAACAGGTAAAGGTGTGGACCAGAACACCAAACCAATGAGCTGACAGGTGGTGAAAGGCTCTGTAGGGCCGAGGGGAGCTGCAGTGTTTGCTAACAGAACCAGGGACAAGCAGGTGTTAGACACTCGTCTTTGTGACCGGGCTTCTTCCTCTATGAGCCGTTTGCATATGTCTGGTATTGAGGTACCTGCAGGATGTGCTGGTCCACGGTCACGCTGAGGCGCCCGTCCTCACACTGCACTGTGAAAGTCTCTCGGCCTCCTCCGTTCAGCCACTGCCTCAGCCTACGCTCCTCGGCCCAGGGCGGCCTCACGACCAGAGGATTCATGGCCACATCTTTGGCACAGCCAGAGCACAGAGGCACATGAAACAAGTTCTCTGCTTTCACTTCTCTATTTTAATAGCAACATAGGAGACCAAGCAATCTGCTGCTTTTACTTTAAGGAAATTAAATGAAACTGAGGTGGATTAAAAATGTTCAGGCCACTCTCACAGAGATGGAAACAAGAGAAACACAGGGGTCCTGACCTGTCCCGCCCACAGCCAGCTGGATCACAAAGCGATTGGCCACGTCGGCCTCAGTGTACGAGGTCACCGTGGTGTAGCCCCTCTCATTGGCCCAAAGCAGCAGGTCAGAGATGGTGGACAGGTCAGAGTCGAGAGTACTGGACAGAGTCAGGTCAGGCTCAGGGGGGAAGGGGGGAGACATGCTGTTGGAGGACTACAAAGAGAGACAGGAGACAGATACATGGAGCTGTGGTTCTTTGGACTTGGTGAAGTCTACTCATTATTTTATTGCATCTCGAAAACCAACTGTCCTGCAGTTGCTGCAGACAGAAACCAGACGACCATGGAGAGCTGTGGCTCTTACATGAACAGAGACTTGACCCTGGACTCCATGAGCAACGATGGCCCAGTTGACTGGCACCGAGCTGCTGAGAATCAGAACCACCTTGTGTGCCTTTGAGTTGGCCACCGGCGGCACAAGAGAGACAATCACCTCCACCTGTAGAGAGCTGCAGAGGCCACAGAGAGAAAACAAGACTTAGCGTTGCCGTAGAGACGGAGGTCACTCCTGCTCCGGCCAGGACTGTGTGGCGGCGTGTTCTCACCCACAGAGCCCCGAGCCTACTGAATGGAGCTTGATCACGTGGACTTCAGGGCTGGTCCCAGCTGCTGCAGCGTAGACGCAGCCCTGCACTTCCTGTGGCTGCAGATCAGAGGTCATGTAGTTGTGAGAGAGGAACATGGACTGCAGCTGGCACACAGCAGGGAGCGCTGGGTCTGCAACATGGAGACCCAGCAAGAGCTTTTATTTTGAAAGAAAAGCGAGTTTCACAAGATGTTTTTATCAGGAACAGCTTCGACCTCAGGGGGGTTGGGGGTGGGTGACTGACTTTAACCCACAGAGGGCCAGTCCAGATGTTTGGGTTAATTAAACCCGTCTCTAGAGATGGACCTTTACAGACACCATCCCCTCAACATCATCAATCCTAGCATTTGTAAACTGTCTACAAAACTACCCTGACACTCGAATATGATTTGTCATCACAGTGATACCGGGCTTCTGGCGGCTCACCCTCTCCCAGTCGGACGTAGACCCTATTGCCATGTGTGGCGTGTGTCAGCGAGGACAGGTTGCCGTGGTGTCTCAGAGCCCAGCGGTGCAGCGCACGTGGCTGGAAGGGCAGAAAATGCAGCATTTGGACTTGCAAGCGCAGGGTGTGGGACTGTACGCTGGAGTTTGAGGACACCTATTGGAGCAGATGCACCAAAACAATACAGCACATCATTTGAATGCACAAGCGAACCAACCTGGAGGACTGCCACCATCGACACGACTCTGCACGCCGTGACTGACCTGCACCAGCACAGGGAGGCCATGGGGCAGCCTCTCGGCCTCCAGCCACCAGCTGACGGGGAGCTTGGAGCTGAGCACCAAGCGGAGGGCTCTGAGAGGTGATGCTGTCGGAGACAAAGGCTGCAGCAACACCGTCACCTAGAGACAGGACAGGAGAGGAGGGCAACGTGGTGAAGCTGAACAGCCAGTCCTCCTGTGTGCAGCAGAAGGGGGGGCACACTGGTGGCTCTTTTATAAAGTCTTGAGTTGAACAGGCAAGAAAAAAATTCACTGAACTAATTAAAATCTTTATTTAATGGACTTTCTTATGTTCACCATGCAACACGTTCCTGCTTTGTTTCCTCCCCATAGTTCCAGTTCTCCATACGTTAGGCCAGGGGTTGGTCCAGTGCACGTGTCTGCAGCATCACTGGACCAACTGGGAGAGCTGCAGCTGAGCTGCCATCCACCACTTTGTATTCACATTTTCAATTTGTGGTCAGTGGAAACAAATTCAAGATAATCTAAAATAAATTGTCCACCGGCTGAGGTGGAAAAGCCTTAGTGATAAAAACAAGCTGTGACCAAGTGCAGAGTGAATCAAGACCAACATGGAGTGATGAGGAGGCTGAGACCTTCCTCACATTAACACATGAATCTAATAAGTCTGATCTTTTTAATGGCCTCCTCTTGTTCTGCACCAGCTGGAACATTAGCTCCACCACCTATTGTTCACATGGCAGCAGTGGATGGAAACCTGCACCTGCTGGGAGCTCACTACCTTGTTCCCGGGGCTGCTGGTCGCTCTGCCCACTGCAATCACATGAGTTTCCTTGTCCCTGTGTTCTCGAGCAGTGCAGCCCGGACCAGCCTCAAACCTCTCCAGCAGACCCTGAACAGGGTGGAGCGCCCCCACTGGACCCACCACCGAGCATGGCGCCCCTTCACCCTGAGCTGAGGAGGAACAGCAGATACACAACTGTGAAGACATTAAAACTGTAATTACATGTAGAGAGAATTGAGCTCTGGTTGACTCGGCGTGCACCAGCGCAGGCCGCTCCACCGTCTCTGTCCAACAACAGTTCAGCTACAAACTGACTGTACCATCTGAGTTTGGAGCCGTACAATAACAAAGTCACCTGGTCTCTTCCTCCCATTTAGATCGTTAGCGTCTGCTCATGAGCATAAATCCACAGAAAGAAAAAATCTACAGAGCAAAATGCAGCAGTTAAATCACTGAAGAGAGAGAAAAGGGCCCATGTGACTCCACCTCTAATGTGTTACGCTGCCTACCAGTCTGCTACACAACTAGTTTAACATTAGTCTTATTTTAAAGCCCTACATGTCCCCTGGCAGAAGGATTCAGACCCTGTCACTTTGTGCACACTTGACTGCTGTAGATTCTGAATTACGATTGTTTTACCCCTCAGTCTACACTCAGTAACTCAGTAAGACAACATGACAACATGCAGATCTATTAAAACTCAGAGCCTGGTCTTTCTCCCCGCCTTCTTTTGCATCTCGTCCTGTCTATGATACACACTCACAAGCCCAGTCAGTGTTTATTTGTATAGCCCAATATCACAAAACACACATTTGCCTCAAGGGGCTTTAACAATAAATCGTCTGATGAGGGTAGACTGAGCTTAAACTCTTAGAGGATCCAGAACATTTCCCAGAACAGACTACGTAACAATTTTCACTTTCATTCTGATGCTTCAATTAAAGACTTTGGCTGCTGCAGCAGAGGAAGTGCCTCACTTGGGTTTTTAATGTTTTCAAGACGCATGCATCATGTGTGTTAAAGACAAATGAAGTGATGCTGAGGTCCCACTGGGTCCAGGTGTTCTCACCTGGTGTCGTCATCCACAGCAGGAGCAGACAGAAAAGAGTCCGTTCAGTCGTCACCATCATCAGGGTCACGGGTGCACTGGTTTAGTGTGACGGCAACGGGAACACAACCACACACAAAGAAACACAGTTCATTAGCCTGTAATGTTACATCCACTGGTCGCCACTGGTTTCTCCATGAGCCCAGTCCAGCTCAGACACCGATCCCACCAGTTCATTAACAGATTAGCTGCAGAAAATTAACCAGCAAATGATGTGATGATTAACGATTTGTTTTTCCAACTGAAAACATTCACTGGTTCCAGGCTGTTCTTGTTGAATGACGTCTGAATAACAGGTCAGGTGAACTCTGCCAGGCTCTGTGCCAACAGGTGTTGAATGTACTTTCAAAAACGTCCTTGCACACATGAACGTCTTAGCAACAGGAGCACGGGAAGAGAAAACCAGAGTCCCACGCACCACCAAGTCGGCCCAAGCAACGGACGCTGTGATAAAGTGGAAAATGCTCCCGTCCAAGTCGAAATCTCGACTTTCACATTCACATATATTATAAATAATATCTGTAAAATACTTTGAACTGCATGAACCTATGAAACATGATATTGTATATAAATAAAGTCTGATACTGGATCATAGTGACTAATTACTGTGTCCATCACTTTAATGCTGCAGCTGGTAAAGGTGGAGCTGATGGTAACTACCTTATATACTTATACTGGGAAGTACTTTCCATCCTGCTGGGTAGCTGGTGGATTTCCTACTGGGATCAATAGAGTCTGATGGTTCTACTGGGTTTGGTTTGATTCATCTGGTTCTGGACCTGAAGGTATCAGGTACATGTAGTGTAGTAAAAAGTACACGGTTTGTCTCTGACATGGAGTCACAGGATGAAGGAGCAGGACGTGAAGTACTCATGTCTAAATACCTAAAAACTGTCAGTCTCTGTTGCATCTAAAGCTCCATTAAATGTTAAACTGGAGTCAAAATTCTGAACTCACCAGCAGATCCAGCTGTTGCTTCAGGCTTCACTGTGAAGACCACAACACACACAAACACGTGTGACCAGGAAAAACACTCAAGTTTCGACTGTGTCCGTCTCCATCCAGCTGCTGCGCGACCTGTGAGGAGGACTTCTCAGGGGAAATGCACGTCCCACAGCGAGTGGGTCCGCAGGGGGGAGCAGAGCAGAGCGAGGATGAAAGGGGCGAGGGGAGGAGCTGTGCGATGGTGTGACAGAGTGGAGAGAGACACGGCGAGGAGAGAAACAAAAGGCTGTGGAGACGTCTCCCACAGAAAGGAGGAGGAGGAGGAGGGTGGACTTCAGGAGCCTGACTGGCAGCTGAACTGTGCAACACACACACACATACACACACACACAGACACACACACACACACACACAGAGTCCTGCAGTAAAAGAAGGTGATGATGTTCAGTGTGTGTTCAGCCTGTTCCACCTGCGTGAGGCCGACACAGGATCCTGTTTATACATTTACATTACTAGATTTATAGTTAAGTGTTTAATTCCATCACATATTTTATTTGTAATCATCAATTTGGTGGAAGAATTACTCAAGTTCTTTACTTCAGTACAAGAAGTAATGCTAAAGTGTAAAAATACTATCATCAGCCAAACATACTTGAAGTACCAACAGTACCAGTACTCGTCCAGCAGAACGGCCCATGTCCCAGTAACGTCTCTGATACTGGATCATAGTGACTAATTACTGTGTTAGAAATGAATAAATCAGTCAGATAATTATTAGACTTTAATGTGTTATTAATGCAGTTTAGTAAGATTCACAGTCTGCTCTGCTTCAAACTTAGAAGATAATGTTGACTCTGAGACGTGAACCTTGACACCAGTTGGTTTCGTTTTAATGTTGTGTAAGAATTATGTCTGAGAGAATGTTTTAGTTACACATCACACATACAACATACACACACATGGAGTTCTTCATTTTGTTATGTCCAGCTGCTCCAAGCATGTATGGCTCTAGAAAAGAGAAGGAGACGTCGGACTGTCTCCAACTCGTGATGTTTTTACATCTGTCTGTGTAAGGTGTTAGCTCAAAACCTTGTAAATGTATTAGGCTCTGTGTTTCTGGGGTCTCTCTTCTCCTGCAGCTTGTCCGAGGGAGGGAGCCACCTGGGTTAGTGCTTCTGTAACTTTTATTTGTGTGTCTGGTTTAAATAAACCAGCACTAAAATGAAGCAAGTCGGACTCTGTCTTCATTCAGATCTGTTCACTTAAAGAACTGGGGTATAACAACTGTGTCCATCACTTTAATGCTGCAGCTGGTAAAGGTGGAGCTGATACTGGGAAGTACTTTCCATCCTGCTGGGTAGCTGGTGGATTAGTACAGGACCTGAGTAAATGTACTTAGTTACTTTCCACCGCTGCATTAGCCTCACTGTTTGTGCCTCTTTTTAAAAACTCTGTTCTCAGTCTCCTGTTCAACACTTCGAGTGGCACAAACCTGCACGATGCCGCTGTACAAATCAAGTTGTGACAGAGTAGCTGTCACTATCTGCTCAGATCCAAGTGCTCACCGTTATAATTTACACACTGAGTATTCGTCCAGAGTCGATGGTTTAGATCTGGAGTTTTCAGAATTTGTTCTCTGATTCTCAGAAGTGGACTGAGCTCATGAGTAATCAGCTAATAGAACCAGAAGCATTTAGAAAATTACAGTTCAATCATGTTTTTGCTTTATAACTAAAACCACTGATGTAACAGATTAGTTTTCTAGTCAAAGAGCTCGTGTGTGGGCGCCTACTGTATTACCTACATTATGGGGACTGAAACCTGTTAACACACTCACGTTGTGGGGACACGGCCAATTTTAGGGGGGCAACATGGTTTAAGGTTAGGATTAGGCAAGTAGTGGTTCTGGTTAAGGTTAGGGTAAGTCTACAGGAAATGAATGTAAGTCAATGTAAAGTCCCCACAAGGAATGAAAACACAGCGTGTGTGTGTGTGTGTGTGTGTGTGTGTGTGCGCACTCCGTCTACATCTTGTGTAATTCCCACTAATAATTCCAAGAATGTTTTTAATAATACCCACCATTAATGGAAACAGCTGGGAGCCGGCCTGGCTCCGTGTCACCGACCTGCTGTGACTCAGACATGGAATTTTGTTTTTATCAAAGTGCTGCAAACATAACTCATCTCCGTTAGCCTCGTACTACATCTGAGCCCTTTGTTCTGCACATGTACCTTTGGACATCAGATGTGAGCATCTGCAGCATTAGGTTCACTGAAGTGGTGCCATCGAGTTCTTCACACAAAACCACGTTGTGCCAAACGCTCTTCAAACGCTGGGAGCATGGACGCAGCTCGTGTTTGTCAGTGATCACTAGTTATTACACGTGACCAGCGTCTGTCTCAGCTAACCAGGCTTCTTCAGTAACTGTGGTCTGCTGTAAACATCTGGCACCACAATGTGATGGTGCTCAACATCTGTCCAACACAACACACCATTAGCTACAGGCCGAGGAAAACCTTCTCCTCCTCATCCACATCAGTTTTTATTCCACTCTGTCTCAACGACGTGCTGATTGGCTGCGAGCAGACCGTCACGCTGCCCGGTTTACATTTAATCGCACACACGCACACAAAACAAGTGGAGGACCAATACTTCTGTTCACATCTTTAGTGAGTCACAGTTCCAACATTTTACCAGCAAATGACAGAGGAGGAAACAGACAGGAAAAACTATAAATCACATAAAATAACAACATTCCTAAAAGCATTCCATCACTGGAAAATGAGGCAGTTAAAAAAGTGTGTTGTACTGTGTGACGGTGGAAAGAGAAGCCGATGAAGAGGTGTCCTGTGTGAGGCTGAGTGCCCGACTCCCCCTACTCTATGACTCACACACAGCTGAACAGCCTTCCCACCTTCCTGTGGCTCCTCCAAGTGTTCATGTGCAGGTGGTGCACGGCTGAGTTGACGTTGAGGCAGGGCCGGCGCACACAGTGAAACACACACTCAGCAGCGACACACAGCACACACAAAGTGACACGAGAGGGCAGCGAGAGCAGGAAGGAAAGACAAACTGCCTCCCGTCACAGTAACACGGTTCGC